ACACTCCTTGTGGGACACTCTTGTAGGAAACTCTTGCGGGATACTCTTGTGGGACACTCTTGTGGGACACTCTTGTAGGACACTCTTGTGGGTCACTCTTGTGGGACACTCTTGTAGGACACTCTTGCGGGACACTCTTGTGTGACACTCTTGTAGGAAACTCTTGTGGGACACTCTTGTAGGACACTCTTGTGGGACACTCTTATGGGACACTCTTGTGGGTCACTCTTGTGGGACACTCTGTGGGTCACTTGCAAGGCACTCTTGTGGGAGACTCTTATGGGACACTCTTGTGGGACACTCTCATAGGACACTCTTGTAGGACACGTTTGTGGGACACTCTTGTGGGACACTCTTGTAGGAAACTCTTGTGGGATACTCTTGCAGGGCGCTCTTAAGGGACACTCTTGTGAGACACTCTTGTGGGACACTCTTGTGAGTCACTTGCAGGACACTCTTGTGGAACACTCTTGCGGGACACTCTTGTAGGACACTCTTGTAGGACACTCTTGTGGGACACTCTTGTCGGACACTCTTGTAGGAAACTCTTGTGGGACACTCTTGTAGGACAATTTTGTGGGACACGCTTATAGGACACCCTTGTGGGACACTCTTCTGGGACACTCTTGTAGGACACTCTTGTGGGACACTCTGTGGGTCACTTGCAGGACACTCTCGTGGGACACTGTTGCGGGTGGGACACTCTTGTGGGACACTCTTGTTGGGCACTCTTGTGGGACACTCTTTGGTACACTCTTGTGGGACACTCTTACAGGACACTCTTGTGGGTCGCTTGCAGGACACTCTTGTGGACACTCTTGCGGGACACTCTTGTAGGACACTCTTCTGGGACAAACTTGTGGGTCACTCTTACACGACACTCTTGTAGGACACTGACCTGGGAGACAAATGAATAGAAATGCTGCATGGCCAACGCAAAAGGCCGGACAACGCCAGTGACAGATCTGGGAGATGAATAGAAATGCTGGACACCAGCAGCGACAGACCTGGGAGACAAATGAACAGCAATGCTGCATGGCCAGCGGAAAAGGGCGGACGCCACCAGTGACAGACCTGGGAGACAAATGAATATAGATGTCGCATCGCCAGTGAAAAAGGGCGTGACAGACCTGGGAGACAAATGAATAGAAATGCTACACGACCAGCGGAAAAGGGCGGACACCACCAGTGACAGACCTGGGAGACACATGAATAGAAACGCTGCATGGCCAGCGGAAAAGGGCGGACACCAGCAGTGACAGACCTGGGAGACAAATGAATAGAAATGCTACATGGCCAGTGGAAATGGGCGGACACCAGCAGTGACACAAAGGGCGGACACGTCTTAAGAAAGAATTGAGAACCCCTAACAGTAAACTGTTTGGGGAAAAACAACAAAAGCTGTGTCATTCCACAATTCAAATTCATTTTGTCGAAGCAGATAGACGATGCGAGATTGTAATGACTTGCAACCAACAAACGGAGGATGTTGGTTGTATCGAAAAATATACTACAAATTCTTTCAGGGTTCAGGGTAGCCGCTGCAGATTGAACTTGAAAGGACCCAAATATCATGATCTTAAAAACGTAAATTCTCCAGAAAAGGTATCTGCAGCACCTACGAGACCCTACCCTGAACCATGCTGCAAAAAAATGTTTGGATACAGCAAGCCCTCATGTTTGCGTAAGCTTATTGTTCTTCTCTTCACGAATGCCTATACTGCTGCCAGGCCAGGCAACGCTACACAAGCATTGTTCTTCCACAGATTACGGCTGAACTGCTGGCGCATGGGTTGGGCAGGAAAACTACATACAAAATTGCAAAAGCAGCGAACCGCCCATACATCACTCCATACCTCACTCCCTGCCGCACCCCATACCTCACTCCCACCTCGCTCTCCCCACACCTCACTCCCTACTTTCTACTCCATACCTCACTCCCTATCTCCATACCTCACTCCCTACCTCATTCCCTACCTCACTCCATACCTCATAGCCGGCGCATTAAGCAAAAACACTGTCTGGAAATAACTCAACGCCCCACTTTGTTTGAGAAGATTGCTGGCCGAAACGGCGTTCAATTTCAATTTGCAATCGCTGGTCGAAAAAGCTACAAAAGGCGTTCATGGCAACTTACTCCATACCTCACCCCCTACCTCAAGTTCATGTCAATGGTTTGTGCACGAAGGATGCGTGAATCTCTCAGAATCGCCCAAAATTCAGAAGAAAGGCTGCCAATTTTTGGTCTTCCAAACCAAACATTGTCAAAGTGAGCACCGCACGCAAGTCCGCTTTTTTCTTACGCCACAAAAGTAAGCGTGGCAAGCTAGCGTCAAGTTTGTGTAAAACATGAGTACCAAGGCTTGAAAAATTGATAGGCCAACGCACTTATAGAAATTACACCACCGTAGCCCCAAACAGGTTAGACAACAACGAAGCATTCCCAAGTCCACTGTTTGAGACATCAACAAGAAGGGAGACAAGGTGGACACAGTGACCAACCAGAAGGAAGACAAGAAGGGAGACAAAAGGAAACAGAAAGAGAGAGAGAGAGAGACAAGGCGGACACAATGACCAACAAGAAGGGAGACAAAAGGAAACAGAAGAGAGACAAGACGAACACAATGACCAACAAGAAGGGAGACAAGAAGAGAACAGAAGGGAGACAAGACGGACACAGCGACCAACAAGAAGTGAGACAAGACTGGAGAGAAAGGGAGACAAGAAGGGAGACAAGGCGGACACAATGAAGGGAGACAAGAAGGCAGACGAAAGGAAAAAAGGGAGACAAGACAGACACAATGACCAACAAGAAGAGAGACAACAAGGAAACAGAGGGAGACAAGACGGACACACTGATCAACAAGAAGGGAGACAAGACCGGAGACAAAGGGAGACAGAAAGGAGACAAGGCGGACCCAATGACCAACCAGGACGGACAAGAAGGGAGACAAGAAGGGAGACAAAACGAAACGGAAGGGAGACAAGACGGACACAGTGACCAACAAAACCGGAAACAAAAAGAAACAGAGGGGAGACAAGGCGGACACAATGACCAACAAGAAGGGAGACAAAAGGCAAAAGAAGGGAGACAAGACGGACACAATGACGAACAAGAAGGGAGACAAGACCGGAGACAAAGGGAGACAAGAAGGACACCATGGCCAACAAGAAGGGAGACAAAAAGGGAGACAAAGATAACAGAAGGGAGACAAGACGGACACAATGATCAACAAGAACGCAGACAAGAAGGGAGTCAAAAGGAAGCAGAAGGGAGACAAAAGCAAAAGAAGGGAGACAAGAAGGACACAGTGACCCACAAGAAGGGAGACAAGGAGGGAGACGAGACCGGAGAGAAAGGGAGAGAGAAGGGAGACAAGGAAATGCTGCATGGCGAGAAGAATTGAAAACCCCTAACAGTAAACTGTTTCGGGAATAAATAGAAATGTTGCATCGCCAGCGGAAAAGGGCGGACACCAGCAGTGACAGACCTGGGAGACAAATGAATAGAAATACTACATGGCCAACGGAAAAGGGCGGACACCAGTAGCAACAGACCTGGGAGACAAACGAATTGAAATGGTACATGGCCAGCGGAAAGGGCGGACACCAGCAGTGACAGACCTGGGAGACAAATGAATAGAAATGCTACATGGCCAGCGGCACAAGGGGCGGACACCTAGAAATGCTACATGGCCAGCGGGTTTGGTGAAAAATGGAAAAAGGAAAGAACTCAAGGACTAAGCTATATATGTTTCGAAACTTCAGGCGCAATTGTCAAAACATAATTTTGAATAATGCGTTTCGGGCTAAAGCGAAACCATCCTTGCAGTTTTATTCACGTCGTCGTCGCGTCGTCACGTTGTGGCGTCGTCGCGTCGTCGAAACGTCGCATCGTCGCTAGCGAACCAACCTGCAATTGCAAGACACCAAGCAAATCAGAGATGCTGATCGGGCCTTCAATTTCAAAACCAACCGCATCTTGCCAAACAAAATGCCTCGCAAAGCGTTTTTTGAAAATACACGGAAGCCGAATGTTAGAAGCCAACAAAATATCCAATCCAAGCAGGAAGGAAATCATGAATGCTGATCTGGCCTTCAATGTCAAAGCCACATGCACCTTGCCAAACGAAATATTTTGAAAGCACAGGCAAGCCAAATGTCAGAGGCCAATCCAAGTTCGCGCATACCCTAAGGGCCCCTAAGGTCATGGCTCACGCGCCATCACCCGCAGCCCATCAAGCAGTGATACAGCGACTACACAAACCAGAAAGGATTCCGCGCTTGCAGGTTTTGTTTTTCTCTGTTTGAAGAACACAACTGCAAATGTAGCAAGCAAAACGTTTCATCGCAGCATCCTCCCGTTCAATGATTGCACAAGCACAGCCAAGACGATTTGACAAACATGCTTAAGCGTGTCAAAAATTCCACACATATCAACTTTGGCTGCGAAGCTTTCAGGAGCCTTTTTCAGAGTTCCAGGGTTCCAGGGTGGGTTCCAGGGTTCCAAGGTTCCAAAGATCCGCCCTGCCCCCCCCCCACATGAGCATTCACCTTTTCAGGGTTCTAGCGTTCACATTTTGAGGGTTCCACGATTCCAAGGTTCCAGGGTTCCAGGGTTCCAGGGTTTCAGGGTTCCACGATTCCAAGGTTCCAGGGTTCCAGGGTTCCAGGGTTTCAGGGTTCCAGGGTTTCAGGGTTCCACGGTTCCAGGGTTCCAGGGTTCCAGGTTTCAGTGTTCCAGGGTTCCAGGGTTCCAGGGTTCCAGGGTTTCAGGGTTCCAGGGTTCCAGGGCTCCGGTTCCGGATTTTGGGCTCCGCAGTCGGAGGCGGCACCACTCCCAGACCCAGAGATTGAAACCCAACAGTCATACTGCTGTTGGGAATTATATGTCAATTCTCGCCAAAGGCGTTCAACGGTTTGGTGGTAAGCCAAAGGAACAAGATGTGGCACACCGGCGCCCTAAATGTGTTTGATTGCTTTTTGCACAAGATGGCAAGGCATTGGAATGCAGTGAGACTGGGCTGGATGGGGCTGAGGCAGGGGAGAATGGTGTGGGAAAGGGGTAGGTTGAGAAGCATATACTCTACTGCACCCTCAATCAGACAATCCCATTTGGTACAAGACCGGCAGGCGCATACAAGATCTTCAGAGTCAAATGCAGGCTAGGCCAGAATCATTGAATGAGTCGTACAAGTGACAGGCCGTGCAACACCCAAGTGCTTTTTGTCGTGACAGGGTGTTCAAGCGCAGATGCACAAGCGTTAATACGCTCCAGGCCAGACGGGCTCATGAGGTCTTTGTGTCAATAAGAATGCACAGATGTACATTACATTCACTTCCCGAAAGCTGATGAGGGTGGCAAAGCTTGTGGCAAGTGGCCTGACCGCAAACGATGCGTTGTTGAAGGCGATCAGTGCAGTTGCGTGCAAGAAGTAAAGTCAAGGAGATGCTAAAAATGCTGTCTATTCTTGTGCGTAGGTGGTTGGTCAACCCTGCCAAGGTTACATGTTTTAGACCGAGAATTAAAAGAGCAAGTTGGGAAAGCCACACCAACCGGAAAACTCGCTGAGACGTCGCAATTTAGAACTTAACATCCAGATGGGCAGAAGACACTGAAGAACTGGGATTGTTGATGATTGTTGCAGGTTTTGGCGGATGCCAAGAAGGGGTGACTGGGATGGAGTCAAAAGAAGCGACGCTGGTCAGGTGGTATTGAGAGCGCACATCCTGCAAACTTGTGCTGTAACCACTGCAAGGGTTGTCCGCTGCCTCCTCCAGCAATGACCAGGTCTTAGGTCCTGCAGTTCCTCTCCACGTGATACTGTGGCTCGCAATGGCCTCTCAATCTCGTGTGCTGCCTGCTTTGCTGGCTGTGGCTTGCTGCGCAGCTCTGTTGCGAAGCTTTTTGGGTTCCAACGAAGCAGAGCTGACCTTCGTGGCACCACAGCAGAGCGTGCATTTGGGTTGCAAGGCTTTGTCCGGTAGCGCACTGGCAGCTGGTGATGTGCCCGCCATTGTGAATACAGTCCCTGCTCGGCCTGGAGTGCCAGCTCACTTCAAGGTGACCCTAGAGACGCCTGATGGCACTCAGTCCTTCGACTGCCCTGAGGATGTGTACATCTTGGATCAGGCTGAAGAAGAAGGCTTGGAGTTGCCATATTCTTGCCGAGCTGGCTCTTGCTCCAGCTGCGCAGGTAAGGTGCTCTCCGGCAGCATTGACCAGAGCGACCAGGCATTCTTGGATGATGACCAGATGGGCGAAGGATTCTGCCTCACTTGTGTGACCTACGCCACTTCTGATGTGACCATCAAGACCCACTGTGAGGACGAGCTCTGAGCAAGGGTAGGAGCCTTTCCGATTTTCTGTGAGTTTTCGCTCTGCCTGCTG